ATGGAGGTTTACTGTTTTGGGCAAATGTCCGGTGTGATGAAAGGAGGTTTTTGTAAAATTATTTTTTGGACCACTTCTTGAACTTGAAACGTCAGATTAAGTTAACTTTCATTTTCAACTAAGTTGTAAGAGATTTTTAGTAACTATGTTGTCGATATTTGAAAAAGAAATAAAGGTTGTTTTTTTGTTTTTTGTTTTTTCAAACAATCAAGTCGGAAGTGTGTGCAAGAATCAAACCACCTGTTACCAGCCACAGTGGGAACCATGTCTGATGGGGAAACGCGGATCGAGAGCGGATGCCCACTTTATCCTGGATCTTGATTTCGAGATACTATCTCATTATTTTGAGACAATTGTTTTATGTATTTATTTATTTATTTTTTTTTTACCAGAGGTGGCAGAAACAGGCTTCCATAGTAATGATATATGAGATATTTTCTTTAGAAGAAAAAAAAATAGTACAAGTTTTCACTGTGGAGACTAATTCAAAATAACAGTGGGCATTTTCCAGTGGTGCACAATTGTCTTTCAGTTTAATACGAAACTACAGTTTCTGTCTTATAGTGGAAATTGATGGAAGACAAAAGGAAGTTATAAGGAATTAAGACCTCCACCTCCCAGCTCTTCCTTGTAATTTCCACAGAAATGTTTCCACTGGGTAATTAGTTGACATCAGGAAGCTAAGTTTCATAGAACAATGTTTCCTTGTAACTCAAGAGTGCTTATCCTGTTTTATTTGACATAAAAATTGCACAGACGTCTTTTAATGAGGTACTGAATTGTCATCTAATGCATTTAATGGTTTTCTCATTTTCTCACAGGAGATGTCGGCCTTGTGTGGGACTAGCAACGGCTCTTCAGATGTGTGTCAAGATGCCGCAGAGAAACAAGCAAGTATAATATTACTCATAAGCACAACAGGCTTTGAAGCTTATAAAAAGAGAAGGTAGAGAGTGGAGTAAAGAACAAAAGTGTTTATTTTTTATTCTGTCGACTTTTCAGCAAGTAAAAGGTGAATGCTGTCTCAGCTTTTTTTTATAGCTGAATATATATAAACAGGCAAATAGAGCATTTTCTTTTATAAACTAACAACAAATGTGATTTTTTAATAACAGCGTGGATATGTAAAATAAATTTTAAACAACAAATCCTTGCTACTACTTTCAGTGTGTTGCCTGCATGCAGAAAGTAAAAGATGAAATGGTAAATGCGATCACAGCGACTGGAAAAACAAAAGGATACCAGGAGATGATAGAATGCTGAAACATAGTCCATTCAAAGCTGAAAAATAAACCAGGCCGTAAGAAACAAGCCTTATGTTCTAATAAGTTAGACGCTAGCAAACATACAAGTGTTCCAGGATTGGCACAAGGTTTATGAGGGGAAATCCAAGTTTACTTGACACCTAACTCAGTGTCAGGGATGTACCATCAACCTCTGTAGACATGATTCCAAAGCAGACAAATAAGTCTATTTGAGTTTCGCAACACATTTTTTGGTCAGATGTGACCAGTCTTAGTATATTATTATTAGGGGGCTCTGAAGGAGTTAATCCTACAGTAATTCTAGCCAAGTCGACCGCAGTTTGCATGTTTGCATGAGAAAATGCCAAAATTCTGTCTGACAAGATGACTCCCAGTCTGCAGAAGCTTGGCAGAAGCGCTGCATGCCAGCATGATAACGCCTCAAAGTACGGTGCCAAAATTGCATAAGAGCTTCTAAAGAACCTTACCTAAAAAAAAGGAAAGAAGGAAAAATCACATCTCAGCCAAAATCTCAACATAAACTGCAACACTAACATTGTGCATGCCAAAGAGTAGTGAGAAGGGGGAAAAAAAAATCATTTCCTGCTAATAACTGGTTTACTGACCTTGGCTGCACTAACCGTCTCATGAGTCTGTAATTTTTTAGTGTAGTCAATTTGTTAATTTTTTATAGGAACAAACACACAAATGTCGAGAGATGTATTTACAAGTGTTGCTCTACTACATCAACTGCTAATTAAGAAATGGGACAGCTGCACTAATTTATGTTATGAACATTTTATGTTGTGAATGTAGATTATAGTAAGAAGAGATAAGATATTAGAAACTTTTCAGGCAGTTTAATCATTCTGATCAGTGTTTTTTTTTATTATTATTATTTTTTTTTATCTTAAATACTCAAATTGAGATCCTTGTGATTTCAGTCTCCAAATTTGATTAAAGTTTTACTATTAGTTACTTTTTGCAAATCCATTCAGGTTACCAATTTTTTTATTGTTTTACAATAAAAATTAAAGCATAGTTGGGCTCTCTTTTACCTTTAAAACTACATTAACATTTTTTAGTATAGATTTAGTTGAGTGTTAGACACATTTGTCAGATATTTTTTTTTTCTATATTAACGTGACAACATCACAGAGTTTCTGCAGATTTTTCAGCTGCTCCACATCCCAAAGGCACTCTGCTGTAATGAGATCTTGGCTTGTTTATGTGGATACTACTGGAAGAGTCATCCTTGTGTCCAAAAAAGTGGTTTGAGTTCATTTTAACTTTGTTACATGGTGTTTTATCCTCCTGGAAGTTTTAGAACAGAAATTCCAAATGTAATTCAAGTCCTCAAGGGCCAGAGTTATACAACTTTAAGACTTCTGTTTGCTTCAACACATCTCATCCTAGTGCCAAAACTTTATCAAAAAAAAAAAAAAGAGTTTGAAATGGACATGTAGTTTCAGCAAATTTATTTTTGGTTTGTCAAATTGCGCAATTGTATGGTCAATGGAAACACAGCAAATGGCCCCTCAGGTCTAGAGCAGGGATGTTCAAAGTACTTTTTGTAACATGGACCAAGAGTTCTCAAAGGGCAAAAAAATAAAGAAATAAAACCTATTTTAAAAACTGAAATCAGAAAAAACTTTATTGAGATTTTTTTTTCTTTATGTTCTGAACATTAATTTAAACATGGAATCTTTTTCTACAACAGGTTTAAATTGAATGCATCCAGACTTTTGTTTGGGTTTCCTGAAAACGTTTCAACACTCGTCTGTGATTCTTTGTCAATTCTGGAGGCTTGAAGTTGAGCAACTTGCTGTTTTGTAAGCACATGGAGGCCCATCTTCCTTGAAGCATTCCCCTTAATCAACAGCCCGTTCATTCCTCACCTGGCTCGTTTGGGTCTTTTGTTTGGAGTGGGTTGTTTGCTTGGTCACTTGAATCATGATGGTATTTCTTATGTAATTTCTTTGGAATGAGTTTCAAAATAGGGTTGTAGATGCTTGAAAGCTGAAACTGCAACCTTCCTCCTCAGTCCAGTGTTGGTTTTTGTCTTTTGATTAAAATGAATTTCTTTATCTCTTTCAAGCTATCTGTTGTTTTTGTCCAGAATATGGACTTTATTGTTATAAAAGGTGTCTACTTTACTCTTGAGGTACAACTGAAATAAAATGGTCCGATTTTATTATTATTATTATTATTATTATTATTATTATTATTATTATTATTATTATCATTTTTTTGTAGGAAAGAAATGCGTAAATGGTTGTAGTCCAAAACTTCTAGAACATTTGGCATGTTTTCCTTATTAAAAGAAAGTGAACCACTTTACTAATTTAATTTGGACTTGATAGAAAGAAACTCAAAAAAAATGTTCTATTTTCAGCAATAAAAACATGATTTAGTTGTTTCTTTATTTGAAAACACTGTATTTAGCCAAGTTTTATTAATTTAATTAAACGCAGATTTTGGTGGGCCAAGATCCGCAGTGTACTATTCAGTGGAAAGATGTGGTATTATTTACTATGAAAAAGTAAAGCAGAAAGCTAGTTATGAAAAGATGAATACTTTGTGCTATAGCTAACATTTTTGCAAGAAGATTTTAAGATGTGAGCCATAGTTTTGTCCTAATTAAAAATAAAAAAAATAAAAATCTGTCTGTACCAACTACCTTCACTGATGGGACCAATTTGTATCATTTCGGGGCCGCACTGTGGGCCCCCCTGGTCAAGAGTTTAATCCCATAAATTAGAAGATGAAAGAGTAGAAATGTTCAACACCAATCTTTAGGTACACTGTCATGTTTAATTGATTATCAATTAGTAATAAACCCCTGAGTGGGCCAAGAAAATGTTCTCCACATTTTTGCACATCCAGCAGCCTGAATTAGTGATTTGGAGCATGTTAGATTCTTGTTTTCATGTTGTTTATGCCAGATTCTGACCTTCCTGTCTGAATGTCGCAACTGAAACCCAGACTCAACGAAGTTGATGTATTTCCAATCTGTTATTGTCCAGTTTTGGTCAGCTGCCTCTCTGTCTCATCAAACCAGTCTGCTAATTCTCCTCCGACATCAATAGGGTATTTTTGTTCACACAAATGCTACTCACTGGATATTTTCTCTATTTCCGATTGCTCTCTGTAAACCCCACTGATGGATGTTCCTGAAAATCCTAGCAGATCAGCAGTCTTTGAAACACTCATAGCAGACTGTTAGGCCTTAGCTATTCAAAGTCCTTTAAATCTCTTTTATTTCTTGTTTTTGTACTCAAGTTGGACTTCAGCAAGTTGTCCCTGCCGTGTCTAAATGCCTAAATTCATTGAGAAAAGGTGTCTCTTGAAGGTAGATTATGTTTTATTTTGTCTTTTTAGACAAAGTGAAGCATTTTCTACATAGTTAGTCTGGGATATAGTTTTCATAAATTATGAGCACAGAATTCAGGAGATCTTTATCACATATGCACTGATCAAGTCGTATGTAAAGTTGGGGTATTATGTATGTTTGAGAAATCCTTTAATCACCTGTGGACATGGCAGCCATTCCTCCTTTTCCACACAGCTCCTCCTCGGAGCTTCAGTCTCCAAGCCAAGCTTCCGCCTCACAGACCACACCTCCCCACTCAACTCCTCCAGACTAGTGGCATCAGCAATCAGCAAACACCTGGTGGAGCTGCGCATATGCCGAGCTCATCATATAAGCTCCTTCTCGGCACAACGCTCCTAAGAACAATATTAAAGATTCAATGGAGACATATTGTTGTGATGACGTGCTGAAGGCGGAGTCTATGAAAGAGCAGGAGTTTCTTAAAGCAACAGAGTTCCAATTTCAAGGCGTTACAATGCAAAGTCCAGTTTCTTTTAAGTCATGTTTGATTATCTGATTATTAGCTGAATCGACTGAAATGCACCAATTACTTCAAAAGCTTGGTCAAGCATGTAAAAACAGAACTTTATTTTGTTCAGTCACTGGAATTAGGAGTATAACAGTCAATTTAAAATAAATAAAGTGAAACTGACAAAAACAATATTTTGATTTACTCTCTAAATTAAATGTAATAGTTGCTGGATTGTGCTATTAAATGGCACTCTGTGCCTGGAAAATACATAATACTATTTCTTTGGAATGTGTTATTTGTCTATAAAAACAACTTACACAAATATTTTATATGTTATTGCTCCCATTTCTGCTGTTATGGCACCTCTGAAATGACATTGTTCAACCATAATTCCCTTATTCCTTAGTGAGTGGTTGTGTGTGTGTGTGTGTGTGTGTGTGTGTGTGTGTGTTGCAGGAGAAGGAGCATCCCCGTGTTCTTATTCCCGAGTTATGCCGGCTCTTCTACCAGCTTGGATGGGTGACAGGGACTGGTGGTGGGATCAGTTTGAGACGAGGGTTCGTATATGGATATATTTGCCGCTGAGTAATGTGGGTTTATTTTTATTCTTTGTCGTCCGTCTGTGATTGTCTATTCCATCTACTTTAATTAAGAAAATTTCTTTCATCTGCCCTCCTGTTCTGATGTCATATAACTTGTTGCAAGTGCCCAACAGTGCCAAATATCAAGTTCTTTTTATGAATTAGCTGTATAACGTTCAGTAGGAGGTCAAGGCAGTGTTTGCAAATTGAAGGTAAAGGCAACAGTTCTGTTACAACAAACTGGAATTGAAATTGAAGGCTTTGACAGGTTATTACTTACTTGAATGAAATCTGTGGTTTTGGCTGCTACAAAGAAAGTACCGCCCATTAGCAAATCTCTGTTTGAAATGTAGAATTGCAGACGTTTATTGAAGTCAACAAGGGATCATGATGAAACCTCCAATAAGCTAAATAAGACTCACTGACTGCTGCTCCATGTGCATTTGGTATTTCAGTCAGACAGAAAAACACTGAAACGCTAAAATGAGTCAAAGAAGAATTTCCCTTTCATCTTGTTTAATGACTATACCCGAGATTCCCATACAAAATTCTTAGTCGCTCTGCAGCATAGACCCTTTGCAGAGGCTGTTTTTTCAACCTCTTAAAAAAAAAAATCTAAATTTGAAATAACACTGCCTTTAAAGAATGAGTCTGGGCCCAACATTTATTATCTCCTCATTGTGTTTTCAGATGATAAACAATTGGATTCCTTCAGGTAACGCAAACAAGATTTTCGCAAGCAGAGGTTAAATTGATCAAGCAATTGAGTGGATATTATCCTAATGTTATAGGATGATATAAAGAAAATGCTTTTTTCTTTTGTAATGTGAGTGCAGGCCTGAATTTTAAGTTTCAATCCCCCGGCTGCAGTTTTGGTTTGACTCAGAAATGAGTCACAGACTAAGGCTACCTTGTCAAACCATCCTATCAAAATCAATAAAATGCCTCTTTCTCTGGACACGTTTGCTCGATAGACTTCACTACAATAGCTTCATCCTTTGCATTCTATTTGGAAACGTTAACACTCTACAACAAGATTATTCCAAATATTTAGAGAGGATCATCTAACACCTTCGATTTAATGCTGAAGTCCTGCATTTATTTGCATTTCATTGCAGACTCTCTTCTATTAGATGCTGCCACCGAGCCTGCGTAATATGAATTTCTGCAGCAAATTCAATGCAGTAGTGGGAGAATAAGATCTGTTGACATGCATAGTAATCATATTTACCTTCTATGTCAGTTGTTGACAGAAATTCAAATCTAATGTAACAGAGAAGCGAGAGTTAACATAATTTAGGATGTGGGGTTTGTAATGGGGGATTTTTTTCCCCCACGTTTTATGATGGCATTTTTTTTTTTACAAGGCAGGGAAAACACAAGCTTAGTTCAAAGAAAACTTCATGCTCTTGGCAATGTTGCAGCTTTTTCTTTCTTCTCCTGACAATAATTTATAACCACATCTCTATAACTCACAGTGACCAGATCTACATTGCACCATCAGGCGTTCAGAAGGAGAGAATACAGGTGAGCAGTTTTCAACCTAACTATAAAGTGTTCACAGTAAAGATGACTCACATTTCTCAGTAACTCTGTGGCTGTTTCTCATGCTTTATCTCTGGTTGTATTCAGCCAGAAGATATGTTTGTGTGTGATGCAGAAGAGAGAGATATCAGTTGTCCTCCTGCTTGGAAGAAGTTGAAGAAAAGCCAGTGTACGCCACTTTTTATGAACGCCTACACCATGAGAGGTTAGTCACTCCTCACACATGGCGTCACACTTATGCTAACCTGTTTCTACCCATCTGCACCTTTTAATATGAACGTTACAAGTCATCCATTTTGAGTGCAATCATTCATTTTAAAGTTCCATAAACTTTAAACTTCAGCAAAAGACTGGAGGAGAATTTAAATTATAGGGTGTGAGGAATGGACCTGTCGATGTCTGAACTGCAATTTGAGTTTGTCAGTGGCCATCTTATTCTTTTTTTTTTTTTTTTTCTTACCAAAAGACAGCATACTTTAAGAAGAGAATGAAACTGGAGATTCAAATTTTATGAATTTTCTTTAAAGCAAACACATGCAGGGCTTCATTTGTAAGTGAAAATATGGTAGGTGAAAGTTGTATTGATCTAATATTTTGTGCATAAAGAGTTCTTTTGAATGGGAGCTGTGTGTTGCAATGAGTTGTTTGTCCCTCACTGTTAAATTATTTATGATAATATAACAAGAGCCAGTTGGAGTTATTGAAGTATATAAAAGCTTTAAAGTGTTAGTTCCAACTTTCTTTCCTGCTCTTCTTACAGATTAAAGTTCTTTTAATGAGATGCCAGAGAAATTTCCAGTGATCAGTTTTCTCTGCTTGTATGGAGCTTAGAGTAATGCAGCACTGCCTGTCAGCTGGCAAAATGAATGGTACTATGCTTTTTCTTTGTAACAAAAAAAAAATCAAAGTCAGCTCTTGAAAATGTTTCAGATGGTAAGAAGATTAAAAGACCTCACATATCACTGTTTTTAAAACTACAGTGGTAAGCCATGAGCAGCAGATCTGTTAAAAAACCAACTACATGCTGGCTACCTGAGCAGATAGCGTGGCTAATTACCCATGCTCAAAATACATGTCAGATAAATTTAGATGTTTTTATTGGTATGAATAATATTGTCATTTTCAGTTTTACTAAAAAGATTGTGTTATACATTTTTATTTTCAAGTTTTGTACAAATGCTCTGACATCGCAAAACAGGGTTTAGTTTAACCAAGATTATAATGCCATTTGAATCTCATATCAAATTATGTCCAATATCCACTGAAAATAAAATCACATCAGATGAGGTGAATGGAAGTTGTTACAAAGTTGCCTATTTATTACAGCACTTTGTCAGCTTAATGTATTCAAGACTTAATTCAGTGATCAGATAAATGAAATGTGCTGCAGGGAGTTTGAGTCAGACTGGTTTTAGATCCTTTTTTTGCTGGTTCATTTTAAACTGAACTTGTAGCAACAATGTTCATGCTTGAAGACATGTTGCTTAAGTTTCCCTACCACTTGCTTGTATCACTTATCCTTTCCCTTTCCCAGCTGTGTATTTGCTTTGCTTCAGAACTTTTTGGGAAAAACTGGGAATTTAGAAGCGGTTATCTTGCCCACAGCTAACCTGCATGATAATCATATGATAGCTAGCAAAAATCTCCAGGAAATGCCTAATAAGACCATAGGTTAATCTCACATATCTTACATGTGGAAGTTGTGATTTTAAGAAATGCTGCAGTTTTCATAAAAAAAGCATTAAAAACATTAAATAATGTCCACTAATAAAGGCAAAGTCAACAATGGTCAGTATTTCAAAAAAATCTCTCACTTCAAATTGATGGTCAGTCATTAACAACAAGTCATATACAATTTAGTTTTTTCTTTCATATTTCACCATGTATTATACTTTATTCCTTAAGATGGACCATAAATAATATCTAAGAGAGAATATACTGGAGTACAACACTTAAAAACCTGAAATTGTTTTTCCCTTTGCTAAAACTCAGGGGCACAGGCAGTTATACACACCCACTCCAAGGCTGCTGTCATGACAACGCTGCTGTATCCTGGCAAAGAATTCAGGATAACACACCAAGAGATGATAAAGGGGATTCGTAAGGGCACCTCAGGCACAAACTATCGGTATGTAATCAAGCAGCAAGCATTAGTAAAGTCAGGAGAAAGGTTTAATCTCCTGGTGAAAGAGAAACATTTGGCTCATTGGCAAACATTTGTAATTTAAATGAAAACTTGCCCTCCGAAGTTAATTTATCAATGTGTTGCTCTGAAGCAGGTTCATCCGCTGTGAAATTTTATGGTGGAAACTTTCACCCTCCTCTGGTTATGCTGCTTTTTTTTTTTTTTTTTTTTTGCTTTTTGAAATCAACAGACTTGGCTTTTGTCCTTCACCACTCCTGGGAAAGGCATAAATCATCGTACATCTGATTCACTGCATGCACATACTATTTCCCCATAATAAGTGTTTGCCAGAATTTTCTCTGACGATGTGCCTTCATGGCCCCGTCTTGCCATTATTTTTCCCAGTGAACCTGACACGCACTCATCTGATGGTTGATTGGATTTGTTAACATTTAAGACTTGTCTGCACTGCTTCTGAAATGTCCATATTGTGGTTTTCCACAGTTAGTTTATCTTTACGAAGATTTTAACCAAAGCAAACTACTCAACTATCCAATTTGTTTTGTCTTAAACATAATGAAAATGATTGTTTTGCTTCACTTATTGCCTGAAATGAAAAATGCAGCAGACAACACAGGAAAAGAGAGATGTATATTGCTGTCTGATCGCTCCATATGTCTATTTTTACTGCAGTGAGCCTCGATGTAGCCAAACTCCGTCAAGTATGGCATTGTTTTTATGCCATATTAGATTTGTCGTGTTGATGCATTTTGACGTGCTTCAGTTTTCCGCCGCAAGACGCAAACTTCTCCATTCACTCAGTGCGTTATAGTTTCACATCAATTTGTTAGGATTTCTTGCTGAGCGTTTGCGCAGTGTGAAGTAAAGAGCAGACCAGCTGCACAGGCAGGCTGCGAAATGAGATGCAGGTGATCGGTTTGTGTGATCGTTAACAAGAAACCGTGATCGTCGATCACCGATCATACACTTTTTCACGGAAATCGGCCGATTATGATCGGTGGCCAATCGATCGGCACACCTCTAGTTTATACTTCTTCTTTTTAATGTTTTTACTCTGCTTGTCAACAGTAAGTATGTCTCACCCAAAAAGCCTCTTTTACTTTAACTCTAATCTGATTTATATTTCCAATACCCAAAAATTAACATTTGATTACTACAAATTAATTCCACTGCAATATAGACACCGCATAATTAGTTAGACCCATAACACGTCAACCAAAATCAAAATACCTGAAATACATGTCAGATGAAGTCAGATCATATGTCAAATAAATCGGCATATATGAATAAGACCTTCTATATTAGACTGCTTTTACTTCTAATTAACACTTCTCTTATAATCAGTCATTCTTTCAATCAAGAGAAATCAAAAGTACAAGATTACTCATTCCTCTCAGGCTCTTGTTATCTGTTCTGCTTTTCCCTGACCTTTCACCTACCATCTACCTCCAACACGACATTGGTGATCTTTAATTACAGTTACACCTTTTACACCATTTCAAGTTCAAATGTCAAAATCAGATTTAAAACCTTTTAGTTTCTCTCTTTGATTCAACATTCATATATAATATTATGATAACCATAATACCTGGACCCACTCTCAGTTAGTTACTCTCATTATAACCATAATGTGAGTTTTTACAGATGATGTTCTGAAAAGAAACCAAGAATATGCCGTTATTCTAATTATTTAATACCAAAATTACTGTTACTTGTTTTACTTGTAAGTATTTCCACAAGTGTAAGTATTCTTATAAATAACCCAATATTAATATAAGTATTTTAATTTGGGTCTTATCAAATTACTCAAAATGTTTAAATTGTATTATTTAAACCTTTAATCCTTTGAAACAAGGAATAGTCTAATCTATTCTTATACTTTTGCAGGCTGGAAGCTTTTTTCCTCTTTCTTCAGGAAACCTGCTGGAAGCTTACTTCCTCTTTCATGAAACTCTTTCTATCTGACTATGATTTGTTTTATGATCAGATAGAAAAAATAAGAATTAAAGCAAAGTATGCAGGACGCAATAACAACACACACAACCAGATTAATTTCATTACAGTCTGAC